GTGATGGTGGTGATGGTGGTGGTGATGGTGGTGATGGTGGTGATGGTAGTAGTGGTGGTGATGGTGGTGATGGTAGAGATGATAGTGGTGATGGTGGTGATGGTGGTGATGGTGGTGATGATGGTGGTGGTGGTGGTGATGGTGGTGATGATGGTGGTGATGGGGGTGATGGTAGAGATGATAGTGGTGATGGTGGTGATGGTGGTGGTGGTGGTGATGGTGATTACAGTAACACTGACTATTAAGGTGACAACTTATGGCTATTGAGCTCTTTTGGGTTGTAGGAGCTATGCTAAGTTATTTACAGAAATCCTCCCATTTCATTTTCACACAGTTGATAACAGGCCCATTCAAAAATGAGCAAACTGAGGCGAAGGTTGATCATCTCTTTTGTAGAAGTTTTAATAAATGGGACGAGTACAGATTTGGTTCAAAGAGATACTAAATTACCCCTTCCTAAAGAGTTCTATAAATCTCAAGGGTCTAATTAGTCAACTTTGATAGACATCTTACAAAATTAAATGAAGCAAGAGTTCTGCCTAATTGACAGCCTTCCAGAATAAGGCCTCTGAAGAAAGCCATTGCCCTGTGCTACCCAGGGAGCCCACAGGGCCCCCAACACGGTGCTGCAGTGTCCTCCTCTGTAGAGTGGGAGAGAGAAACACATCTGACCTCGGAAGGTTCTTGTGAAGACTAAGGGACGCGTGCAAAGTATCGCCTGTGGTGACTGACCTGTGCTCCTCCCTAAATGGCCTCGCTGTTGACCATAGATGCCATGAGACTGTCAACCACAGTGGACAGGGCTGGAGTTAGGACTCAGCATATTTAAAAGCTTCCTCGCAATTGAAATACGCCCTGACCCCAACCCCTCATCCATATGTGTATTCATGTGCTTGACCCTTCATTCATCAATTCCCTGTTCTGTTTGGGGTTCTGGGGTGCTTACTGCTGGGGCCGAGACTCCTGTCTGCTGAACAAGTCACCCTGAGCAGAGGCGTCAGGCATCCCTGCAGTCGATGGAGCAACTGGACCCAAATCCTCAGTGTCCTCGTCTRAATCTCCTGCCATAAGACTCTACGTCCAATCTCTGGACTTCGGGTGTGGCCACTGGACTTGCTTTGGAAAGGAGGAGATCGGCAGGCGTGAATGTGACAGCGCAGAGAGTTGAAATCTGCGGTGACATTCAGCATTCCTTCTGAGCCTCCAACATGGCCGAAAAAAGAGCTTCCGCCCGGTATCTACCACCGGGTCAGCGTGTGACCCAGAATAAACACGCATGGGGCAGAGGTCACACAGCGGACGCGCAGGCCAGGRGCAGAGCCTAGAGCTGCCCCACCCAGCCCAGCCCGAGGCAAGAATCCTCCACTTGACCTGCTTCCCRAGGGCCACACACAGGCTTCTCAGAGCCGTGGTTACCCACGAGAACAGGACCAAGGACTGGGAAGGTAAGGAGGCCCTCCAGGGATCCCGAGGATCAGGACTGTTGTGCTTGAGGGTAAAACAGACCCATTTAGAATGCTGACGGCAGGGGAGAACAGGGCTGAACTCTGGGAAGAGAGAGGGGACGAAAAGCCAGGAGGAACTCGCACTCCGTTCAGACCACGCCCACCTGTGGCCCGGCCTCTGTCCGACCAACGTCACGATGACTGGGTGGTTGGCAGGTCTCCTCTCAACTTCGGGCAGCACAGCACATTCTGTGATCAGGTAGAGCCGCCCCCTGTCCTTGAAGCGGGCTCCGGCCCTCTGCCCTGAGCCTTCGTAGCCCCCTGCTCCTGAGCACATTTCTGGTGCTGACCCTCTCCTGTTGACTTGACTTTTCCTGACTTGGTGTTAGCAATTCAGGAAGGAATCACGGATCCCGTGGCAGGACTCCAAGGCCAGGCCTGGCCCATGCGGTGAGATCACCAGGCGGTGAGCAGGGAGAGCTTCTGCAGACAGCCACCCCCGGGCCACGTGGTCATAACGCCCCGCTTCCCGTGGCCTGCAGCCTGGGAGGCTGGAGCTGCCGCTGCTTTTGCGTGTTAGGCAGTGAAGGGACCAGGCTTTCTCTGGAGCTTGCCTCTTCTCATTCCTCCATGGGACAATGCGGAGAGAGCCACATGTTAGTTCACCAYGAATCACCCTTGGTCACAAGTGCTGGGTTCTGTAGAGTCTCTTACCCAAACATCACGGGAACCCTTCCTCTGGAATTTGGAAATTGGGACGGAGGCAGCTCAGTTCTATGTGTCTGAGAGCAGCATCCAGTCCCAGCTCTGCTAACACGTGAGGTCACAGGATTCTGTTTTGAAGTGGACATGAAAGGGCCTGGACGCGGCRTCTGTCGAGTTGGCCAACTCCCTTGATCCCTGGCCTCGGTCTGCTAGAAGCGAGTAGGAAACAATCCCCACCTGCAGACGTTGCCAAGTGTCCCCCAGAGGACAAAAAGGACCCTGTGCCACTGAGAAGCAGCTCTCTAGGTTCCCTGTCAAGGCCCCGACGACGTCCTGGTGCCGACTTTCCCTAAAGCTGTTTGCTCAGCTCCTTGCTCATTCACGGGGAGATGCTTGTGCCTCCTTAAAGTGATTTCCCTTTTTAAACACAGTTACCTAGAATTGGTCTCCAGTCACCTGGGTGCACGCACGGCGTGAGAGGCACTTCACAGACACCCCTAGGGAGCAGACCCCTTGCCCCAAGACCCACTGCCAGGTCGATCAGAAACCAGTGCGAAGGTCTCAGGTCCCCCGAGTGAGGGGTTCTGCGGGGTCTTACCATCACCCACGAACTGCAGCAGGGCCAGGTCGATCTGCCTCTTCCAGGGTGAGCCCTTCTGGAGGGCGATGCCGTAGCCAGTGGTGGCAAAGATGTAGCCGCTCCCGATGGTCACCAGCTTGCAGCCCTCGTCTCTCCCGGCCTTGTAATTCAAGACAGCGGCGTCGTAGATGAAGGCGTCCAGCTTCCTGAAATGACAAGAGACCAGGAGTCAYGGGGTGGCCGGGACCCTCCCAGGGCCCGCTCCCGAGGCCCGAGCCAGCACCCCACAGGCAGGAGCTGATGACTCACGCTGTTCCATCCCCTCGTCATAAAAGGATCTATTTTTAATGAAGAGATAAAAGCCAGACCTTCTCTCCCCAACTTACCAGAGGCAGCTAAATAAAGACCCGAGGAGTCTGTGTACCCAGTGAGTAAACAGGCAGGTTGGCAGGTTTTCTAAGGGTCGGTCCTGTGCACCTCCCCACGGGTCGGCACCACGGCACAGCCAGCCACTGAGGACCGGGGACTCTGGCAGCCGCAAGGGATGGGGCCAAAGAGGAATGGAAACCTTTCCTCCCAAGATAAATATACTTACTTTTAAGGATGTCACAGAAATTAATTACCACAGAGGAATTTWAAAACTCCAAATAATATAGAAAAGTACTAATAATACAATTAAAATTAAAATTCTTCCATTAACAAAGTAAATAGGTTGCAAAATTCCATAACTCATGATTTTATAACTCAAAGATGACCTCTGCTGACATAGTTTTGGGCTGTCTTCCAAGGTTTTTATGCACACACACACATGCACACCACACAGGGCTCGGCACACTGTTAATGTAGAGACAATCTAATAGGCAGCTTGGACCCTGACGGTCTCACTGTGTTAGTGGCAGTGACTTGGCGAGGCTGTAATAGGGTGTCCCCTCCTTCCAGAAAACAGTCAGGTGTTGAAGTCCTGATCCAAATGAGTGAAATTCAGCAAAATTAGAAACTCAGTTTCTCAGCAGCACTTACCACATTCCAAAGGCTCGTTTCCCACTTTGGGGAGTGGAGATGCCGAGCATTCCCAACAATGGCTCAGGCTCCAAGGGCCAGTGCTGTCCAGGAGGGCTTGGTTGGGCAGTTTGGAAATGTCCCTAATGGACTCCAAGCCGACCGAGAACTTTGCTCATAGGACAACTAGGAAAATGATACTATCTGCCCAGTGGGTGGGTTGAGGCCTCAGGAGGATGGCACGTGCACTCCT